ACTGAGTCGTCTCTTCATCACACTCAACAGCCAGGAGGGAGCTCTTGAGAAAACCAGGAGAAGGTGAGAACCTGCTCAGGCCCAACAGCTCTTGTTCAAGGTATCTGGTGGGGCTGTGTGTTGGTCACCTTTCTGAGACTGAGCTCCATCAGTGGGGGGAGAAATGGGGCTTTTGGGAGCTTGAAGCCCCAGGAGTGTGCAGCCACTTAAGCAGGCTGCTGTTGGGGTTAGTGGCACTCAGGCTAAGTGCGAGTTGTTGAGTTTTCACAGAAGGCCAGGTGTGAGGTGGATATGCTGCCTCTGTGTGGGTCCCGTCTCATCCTCGCGGCTCCCAGGCTGGGGCCAGCAGGGGCATGAAGGCAGGCTAGCTCTCCGGCAGAGACACCGTCAGCCTGAAGATGCACTTATCCTTCATGGTGTTGGCTCACATGGTGTTAAAAATTTAAATTAGTTGTTAACATTTGAAGATTTGGGGATTTAAGAAGATTTGGGTTTCGTGCTTTTCTTGTAGATACTAGCAGATGTGTCCCCTTGCCCTGTGTCTGCTGTGGACCTGCCCCCGCTCCCGTGGTCGGCCCTGGGCTCCTGCTGCAGACGTCACTCCACCTGCTGTCTTCTCTGGCAGTTTCCTTCCCCTTAACACCTTCCCACTCTGCAGCCCTTTGCATCGCAGCCCTTGCGTTAGGACGTGGCCAAAGAACCGGAAATCCGGGACTGGGCACTGCCCTGTAGCCACTGTAGGACAGCTCCTGCTCTGCAAGTGTGAGATTAGGGGATTCACTTCTGAATAGAGCTGGCTTCCTTTCTAAAACATTGCTTTGCACCCTTCTGGCATCTGGAATTAGCTAGGCTGTGCTCTCCTGTTCTCTGACCGCGGCACTCACACACTCACTCTCCAGGAGCAGGCTCCACTTTCTTCTTGGCCCCTTTTCTGGGGCCACCTACCAGAGCCAGGAGCTGGAAACCTGCAGGCAGGAGAGGCTCAGCTGCCGGCAGCTGCGCCCGCGTCAGCCTGCGGGCCCCTCCCACTCTCTGCTCCCCGAGACCCCTCTGGCAGGGGAAGGCGCCTGCCTGTGTAGCTCTCACTGGCACCTGGCACCTGTATTGGGATCGTTTTTCTCTGTTGTTTCCCCATTTATTTTTTGTGCTAGGAAATGTCCTCTAGAATGTCAAGTCTGTTTCCATATATTTGTATATCTTATTCTCTGATAGAGCTTTTTTTTTTTTTTTAAAGATTTTTATTTATTTGATAGAGAGAGACACAGCGAGAGAGGGAACACAAGCAGGGGGAGTGGGAGAGGGAGAGGCAGGCTTCCCGTGGAACAGGGAGCCCGACGCGGGACTCGATTCCAGGACCCCGGGATCATGACGTGAGCCGAAGGCAGACGCCTAACGACTGAGCCACCCAGGCGCCCCTCTGATAGAGCTTTTTTAAGAAATGGATTTTTAATTGTTAACAAAGTAACAAATATGAGGCTTCTAATTAGAAGATCTGTTCTTACATGCAGCCTTCCCCTCCCCTAGTTCCATTCCGTAGAGACAACTGTTTTTGAACTCTTAATAGCTGTTTAATCCTGGTAGTTACTTCCGTAGGTTAATAACAATAAAAACTCACAGCAGCTAACACGGACTAAGGCTTTTCGTCTGTCAGGCGTTGTTCTAAGATCTTTACGTTGGTTTCTTCTGTAAATTCTCACTGGCGGTGCACCGGGTAGGTGTTGTTACCCACCCTTCATAGATGAGGAGCCCGAGGCCCAAGGAGAGGCTAATTGACTTGCCCAAGGCCTCTTCTTTTTTTTTTTTTTAATGGTTTTTAAAGATTTTATTTATTTATTTGATAGAGACAGATAGTGACAGAGATAGTGAGAGAGCGCACAAGCAGGGGGAGAGGCAAAGGGAGAGGGAGAAGCAGGCTTCCCTGCGGAGCAGGGAGCCCGATGTGGGGCTCGATCCCAGGACCCTGGGACCATGACCCGAGCCGAAGGCAGATGCCTAACCAACCGAGCCACCCAGGCGCCCCCAAGGCCTCTTCTTTTTTATTTTAATTTTTTAATTGTGGTAAAATATACATAACACAAAACTTACCATTTTAATAATTTTTAAGTGTGCACTTCAGAGGCACTAAGCACATTCACCCGGCTGTGCACCAGTCACCCCCGCCTGTGTCCAGAATTTTTCTGTCTCCCCAAACTGGAACTGTCCCTATCACGCTATCTCCTCCCCCAACCCTTCCCCGGCCCCCGGCCCCGTCGTCTGCTCTCTGTCCCCCTGGGTCTGACCACTGCAGGTGCCTCCTAGAAGTGGAACCAGACAGGATTTGTCCTTCTGGGTCTGGCTTGTTTCAGCACAGTGTCCTCAGGGCTCCCCCGGGTCGTGGCAGGTGTTAGCAGCTCCTTCCTTTTTAAGACTGAGGATGTGATTGAGAATAGATGCCCATGGCCTTCTACCTGCCTCAGGGAGAAGAGGATATCATCCTTAGAAGGTCAGACTCTGAAGCTCAGCTCTGTTAACCTTTGGACCTGCTGTGGATACTCCATTAGGGGACCATGCAAGACATCGCTGAGTCATCTACTATTAGACAACCTGATTGCTTCTTGGCCTTTTGGCTAAGATCAACTGTACTATGTGTTCCTATCAGTTTAATATTAGACAACCTGACTACCTATTTTCATGAAGTAACATCTCTCCCATTCCTCTGCTGTCTGACACTTCCACTGTCTGTTTCCTGGGGATGGTCTGTGAAAATCCTCCTAGGATTGAATCACCAAGGAGCCCCACCCAGTCTGGGTGACTTGTCCCAGAAAGCCTTCAAACAACCCTGTTTCCAGGGACTGGTTAGACGTGCTCCATCTTAAGCTGGTGGAACCTGGCCTCCTACATCCAGGGGAAGGCCCACCCTTGGGCATTTGGCAGAGACTGGTCTGGGTAGCAGGGGTACTAGTTGTCTTCCCTTAGATTTGGTGATCTCCTTTTTTTTTTTAAAAGATTTATTCATTTATTTGAGAGAGAGAGAGCACATGAGAGGGGGGAGGGTCAGAGGGAGAAGCAGACTCCCTGCCGAGCAGGGAGCCCGATGCCCCAGGGACTCCGGGATCATGACCCGAGCCGAAGGCAGTCACTTAACCAACTGAGCCACCCAGGCGCCCTGGTGATCTCCTTTTAAGGTCCCCCAAGACTCTTAGAATGTGGCTCACTAGGCCAGAGTTTTCTGACGGGTAATTACACACCTACACATATGCACAGATAGAGATAATTAGGTAACAATTCTCTAGATACCCATTACTTAGCTTTGTCTGGGAGCAAGAATGTCCTGTCCCCATCAAGCTCCTTCTAGCCGGACTAAGAATCAAATTGACATGAGACTGATTAAGAGGAGAAAATAAAATTTAATTTTGTATGTATGGGGAATCCAAACAGATATGGAAATTCCAAAGATAGGCAAAATAGTATATATGTCATTCTGAACTAAGGAGAGGGGCAGGGGTTTGGGACTTCAAAGGGAAGGAATGAAATTCACAGGAAGGTGAAAAATAGTAAATGTTTAGTAAACAAATGTTTGCTGCCACTCAGGAACAGTGGGACGCAGAGAGGACTTGGATCCAACAGGCCTTGCTAGATTTCTCCCTGTCTACCTTACCTAGTTCATAGTATGATGCAGTTATCTATGGTGATAGCTCTTTTTGGAGAAGCTCCTCTAAATTCTTTTTGGGCAGTTGAAGGGGAGGGAGGTAAAGAGCTTTTCCTGGACTTGCTGGGTTTTGATGAGTTGTTTTTTTTTTATTAAGATTTTTTATTTATTTGCGAGAGAGAGAATGAGAGGGAGGAGGGTCAGAGGGAGAAGCAGACTCCCCGCTGAGCAGGGAGCCCGATGCGGGACTCGATCCCGGGACTCCAGGATCATGACCTGAGCCGAAGGCAGTCGCTTAACCAACTGAGCCACCCAGGCGCCCCGGTTTTGATGACTTTTTAACTCAAAATAATCTTTATGCCAAAGTGGCCCATTTTGGGGCAGCCTGCCGTTGGCCCCTGCAGTTTCAATAGTTATGACATTTTGACAGTCTTGCTTTGCCTATCTGCACTCCTCCCAGTCTTTTTTTCTTTTTCCTGGTGTATTTAAAAGCAAATTCTAGAAGTCATGAAATCATGCCATTTTACATGCCTGCTGATCTCAGGTCCATACTCAGCCTAAAAAGTGCCTTCTATAGTTGGTTGATTTGAACCAAAGTTAAAGTGTCACACTGTTAAATGTCTCTCAAATCCCTTATTCTTAGAGCTGCCTACCCTTTCTGTGTCATTGGTTTGTTGGAGAAATTTGGTTATTTGTCCTGTAAGCTCCCACATTCTGGATTTCACTAGTTGCCTCCTTTTGTATTGTTTAACTTGTTCCTTTCTCTCATATTTCCAGTAAAGAGATTGACAGGGTGATTAGATTTAGGTACAACTTTTTTTAGGTAGGAAAACTGAACAGGTGTGATCTGATGGATTTTAATGTAATATCCACGGGAGACCTGAATTTTACAACATTCTCTTTCCATTTTATATACATTTCATTTCAGAACTTTTATTTCTTTGTCAAGAAGATGTGAAAAGAGGGGCGCCTGGGTGGCTTAGTCGGTTAAGTGTCTGCCTTTGGCTCAGGTCTGATCCCGGGGTCCTGGGATTGAGTCCCGCATTGGGCTCCCTGCTCAGCAGGAAGCCTGCTTCTCCCTCTGCCTGCCGCTTCCCCTGCTTGTGCTCTCTCTCTCTGTCAAATAAATAAAATCTTTAAAAAAAAGAAAAAAGATGTGAAAAGAAACTTTGACCTTGGGAAGGGAAGTGACTATCCTTATTTCATTAAACCCTGGGGATGTCTGTCCTGATAGCAGTTTTCTTTCTTCAGATTTTGGTTTAGTTCTCTGACGAGATAGATTGATTCTTAGTGTGTGATGTCTGCTTAGGTGTTAAAAACATTTTTTTTTCATTCTACCTCCATTTCCTTACAGGGCTTCCTCCAGTAGCTGTTGGAAAATGGGAGAATTGCTTCTCTTTGGCTTATTACCCTACAGACAAGTGTATTAAACTGAACAGAAAATGTTTAAAGAAAACAAAAACAAAATCTAGCAGTACAGAGTGGTAGCACGTGGGACACATTTTGGGGTAAATGTCACATATACCTTTCCTGGAGACAGGTTTCATACATAGACTATAGTCTTGTTTATCATAGACCTTAGGGTATTTTATCTTACTCTCTTTAACTCTTGTATAGTCAAAATAAATGATGAAATAATTACTTCCAAATAGATCAGAGATTACAGTGTAAAAAATTAAACTATATGAGTACTAAAAGAAAACAAAGATGAGTTTCTTTATAACTTAGGACTGGGGAAAACTTTTTTAACTATGACTCAGAACCTAGAAACAGTAAAAGAAGACTGATAAAATTGATTATATTAACAACAGAAAACTGCAATGCAAAAATCACTGTAAGCAAAGTCAAAAGACAAATGACAATAGAAAAATATGTTGAATTTCAGTCATAGCAAAGAGCTTTTATCTCTAATAGTTGAAAGAACTCTACACCTGAAACTATCACACATATGTTAACTAACTGGAATTTAAATAAAAACTTAAAAAAGAATTCATAGAGGGGCGCCTGGCTGGCTCAGCCAGAGGAGTATGCTACTCTTGATCTCAGGGTTGTGAGTTTGAGCCCCATATTGGGTGTAGCAATTACTACTACTACTACTAAAGGAACTCATAGAAATGGAGAAGAAAAGGAAAATAACCTGATAGGGAAAAATGGGGAAAAGATGGGAATAGATTATGGAAAATAAATAAAAATGGACCTTATGTAATTGAATAGATGCTTACCACTCTTTGTAATAAAAATACTAATCAAAGCTGTACAGAGATACCACTTCTCACCATGTTGGTAGAGTGGCCAGCGGTCTTGGTTTGCCCAGGACTTTCCTGGTTTTGGCACTGAAAGTCCTCGGTTTTGTGAAATCTCTCAGTCCTTAGCAGACTGGGACAGTTGGTCACCCTACATATTGGCAGAAATCCAAAATTTTAACTCTCTGTTCTTTTGACAAAGCTGTGTTGAAACTGTCCTCTTGCCAGTAGAAATGCAAAATGGTACAATGCCTCTGGAGGAGGATTTGTATCTTGCAGATTTATATGTGCATTTGTCCTTTGACCCAGCAACCCCACATCTAGGAATCTGTCTTAAAGCTATGTTGGCAAAAATATGAAATGACTTTGCAAAAGACTGTTCATTGCAGGATTATTTGTAATAGCAAAACACTGGAAACAACATGTGTCCATCACTAGGGGTAAGTCAACATAAAGGAGTACTGTATAGTTATCACAAGGAGTATGAATCTTTGGTGATACGATTCAGATCAGGACTGTGGTTGGCACCTTTGGGGACATGAGGGGATACTTCTAGGTACTGGTAATCCAGTTTCTTGAACTGGATGGTATGGCTGCATGGATTTTTTTTTTTTTTTTTTAAGATTTTATTTATTTGAGAGTGAGAGAGAGATCACAAGCAGGGGGGAAGGGTAGAGGGAGAAGCAGACTCCCTGCTGAGCAGGGAACCCGATGTGGGACTCGGTCCCAGGACCCTGGGATCATGACCTGAGCCGAAGGCAGACACTTAACTGACTGACCCACCCAGGCCCCCGAATGGGTTTATTTTGTGAAAATTCAGTGAGCTGTTCACTTATGATTTGTGTGCTTTCTTTTATACTATATTTAAAATCAGTAAAAATGTTTACTTAAGAAAGGAAGGAGTAAGGTGGGGCACCTGGTTGGTTCAGTCAGTTGAGCATCCAGCTCTTGATTTTGGCTTAGGTCATGACCTCAGGGTCATGGGATTGAGCCCTGCATTGGGCTCGGGGCTCAGCATGGAGTCTGCTTGAGATTCTCTCTCCCTCTGCCCCCCTGCCACTCTCTCTCAAATATATAAATAAAATCTTAAAAAAAGAAAAAAAGGAGTAAGGAAGAGGCTTTTTTTTTTTTTTTAAGATTTATTTCTTGGGGGGGGGGCTCGTGAGCAAAGGGGCAAAGAGAGAGGGAGAGAGAATATCAAGCAAAGTCCCTCCTGAGGGCGGATCCTAACATGGGGCTTGGTCCCAGACCCTGAGGTCATGGCCTGAGCTGAAATCAAGAGTCTGCTGAACCACCCAGGTGCCCCAGGAAGTATTTTGTGGAAACGAAACAAAACAAAACAACAAAAACCAAAAAAACCAAGATACAGATTAGTAGTTTTGTACGAGAAGTGTTGGAAAGAATATGAAAAAAGTATATATTTGCAGCGAAGCAATAAATCAGAAAAATAATAAAAATAGGTATATTGAGAGGAGGGGAGCAGGATGAAGGGACAGGGTTGGGGTGAGACTTTTGTAAGGTATTTTCTTTTGGGATTCTTTTACAAAATTTGGAAAAATTTTGGTTGTAGTTTCTTCATGTACTTTTAGGCTCTAATCTCTCATATTCCTTTGGGATTTCAGTTACAGGTATGGGAGACCACTTCCAGTTACAAGGGTAGTCCCACAGGTCACTGATGCTCTGTTCTTTTTCCTTCCTTCCTTCCTTCCTTCCTTTTTGCTCTGTTAATTTTTTTTTTTTTAAATGGAGAGAGAGAACAAGCATGACTGGGGGAGGGGAGGGGCAGAGAGAATCCCAAGCAGACTCCCTGCTGAGTCTCACAACTTGAGATCATGACCTGAGTAGAATCAAGAGTCAAATGCTTAATCAACTGAGCCACCCAGGGGCCCCTGGCTCTGTTCATTTTTAAAAAACCTTTTTTTGGGGCGCCTGGGTGGCTCAGTTGGTTAAGCGACTGCCTTCGGCTCAGGTCATGATCCCAGGGTCCTGGGATCGAGTCCCACAATGGGCTCCCGGCTCAGCGGGGAGCCTGCTTCTCCCTCTGACCCTCTCCTGTCTCATGCTGTTTCTCTCTCGCTTGCTCTCCAATAAATAAAAAATAAAATCTTTAAAAAACAAAACAAAACAAAAAAACCTTTTTTTGGGGCGCCTGGGTGGCTCAGTTGGTTAAGCAACTGCCTTCGGCCCAGGTCATGATTCTGGAGTCCCGGGATCGAGCCCCACATGGGGCTCCCTGCTCAGCGGGGGGTCTGCTTCTCCCTCTGACCCTTCCCCTCTCATGCTCTCTGTCTCCCATTCTCTCTCTCAGATAAATAAATAAAATCTTAAAAAAAAAAAATAAAAAAAAACAAACCTTTTTTTGGGGTGCAGAGCCTGCTTAAGATTCTCCTCCTCTCTGCCTGTCTGTCTGTCTGTCTCTCTTTCCATCTCTCCTCCCCCCTCTAAAAAACCAAAACAAAGCAAACTTTTTTCTCCCTCTTCAGATTGGATAGTTTATGTCTTAGGTTCACGGACACTTTCTTTATAGTCTCCCAGTTTTTTTTATTAAGTCTTTCCAGTGTATATTTTTGTTTCAGATATTTCACTCTCCATTCTAGACTAGTCATTTGTTTTTCTGTGTAGTGTCCATTTCTTTCCATCTCTGAGATTCTGTTTTTTTCACTCATTATCACTATTTTTTCCTATAAGTCTTTGAACATATTTATTATAGCTGCTTAAGGTCTATTTCTGCTAATTCTACCATCTGAGACATCCTGTAGTCTGTTTCTAATAGCTGCTTTAAAAAAAAAATTTGTAAGGATTTTATTTTTTAAAGATTTTATTTACTTATTTGAGAGAGAGAGATTGAGAGAGAGGGAGAACTGGAGGGAGAGGGAGAGAGGATCTGAAGCAGACCGTGCAATGAGCACAGAGCCCGGCATAGGACTCGATCTCACCACCGTGAGATCATGACCTTAGCCAAAACCATAAGTCAGCCGCTTAACTGACTGAGCCACCCAGGAGCCCCTAAGATTTTTTTTGTAAGTAATCTCTACACCCAATGTGGGGCTCAAACTCACAACCCTGAGATCAAGAGTAGCACGCTCCACCGACTGAGCCAGCCAGGTGCCCCCCTGCTTTTTTTTTTTTTTTAAGAGAGAGAGAGGGAGAGCCCAAGTGGGGGGAGGGGCAGAGAGCGAGAGAGGGACTCTCTACTGAGCATGCAGCCCAGTGCAGGGCTCAATCCCATGAAATGGAGATCACAACCTGAGCCAAGATCAAGAGTTAGATGCTCAACCACACAGGTGCCCCCTCCCCACCCAGCTGCCTTTTTTTTTTTAAGATTTTATTTATTTATTTGACAGAGAGAGTGAGCACTAGCGCAAGCAGGGGGAGCAGCAGGTAGAGAGAGAGGCAGATGCAGACTCCCCGCTGAGCAAGGAGCCCAACGCGGGGCTCCTGGGATCATGACCTGAGCTTAAGGCAGATGCTTAACCGAGCCACCCAGCTGCTATCTATCTATCTATCTATTTATTTATTTATTTATTTAAGATGTTATGTATTTATCTGACAGCGAGATACACAGCGAGAGAAGGAACACAAGCAGGGGGCAGTGGGAGAGGGAGAAGCAGGCCTCCCGCTGAGCAGGGAGCCTGATGCGGGGCTGGAGCCCAATGCGGGGCTCGATCCCAGGACCTTGGGATCGTGACCTGAGCCGAAGGCAGACGCTTAATGACTGAGCCACCCAGGCGCGCCCCCAGCTGCTTTTTAATTTAAAAAAATTATAGTTACATTTTCTGCTGCTTTGTATGTATCATAACTTTTTTTTATATGTTGGTATCTGGCTTATATCTTGAGTTTTGTTCTGGCAGACAGATTATTGGAAGATCATTTTGGTCCTGTCAGGCTTGGTTTTATTCTTTGAGTAGACCTGTTTTGGTTTTGCACTTAGTGTTTGGGTGTGGCCTTTGCTTGGGTTGTAATTTTTACCCTGCAGCCAGGGCCTTATTCAGGTCTTTGCTGTGTGCCTCGTGCTCGGTGAGGCTCTTCATTCCGCCCAGGTTGGACTCCTAACACCTCCCAGCCAGCAGGACCTGTAGTGTCTTTGTTCAGCTTTCAGCCCCACTACTCTCCACTGAGTGGGTCTGTTGGTCTGGGGCACCTCTGAAGTACTTCTGACTTTGGAGCCATGTAAGTATTTTACATAAGTAAAAAACAAAATTAAATAAACAATAGCAAATTAGCAATCCCTTTTCCCCCAGTTGAACATAAATACAACCAAGTGAACATTAGTTCAGAGTCAGAATAAACAGGCCTAAAGTCAACCTTATAGAAATACTTCATTGTTTTGAAAACTGTGTATGAAGTGTTGAAAAGCCAGTGTTGAATTATTCAACTTAATAATTTTAATTATGAAGTGTTAGATGTAAAAAGAATTATCTAGGGCGCCTGGGTGGCTCAGTCGTTAAGCGTCTGCCTTCGGCTCAGGTCATGATCCCAGGGTCCTGGGATCAAGCCCCACATTGGGCTCCCTGCTCCATGGGAAACCTGCTTCTCCGTCTCCCACTCCCCCTGCTTGTGTTCCTGCTCGCTATCTCTCTCTCTGTCAAATAAATAAATAAAATCTTTAAAAAAAAAAAAAAAGAATTCTCTATTTTAGAAGATGGTAACACTGACTTATTTCTGGCTCACTAGCATAACTGTCTTTTTTGGTTTGGTTTTTATATGAAATTTTAAAATATACAAAAAGATATATAAATATACAGAAAACATTACAGTGAACACTCATACTCACCACTCAGCTTCAACAGTGATCAGTACTTTGCCATTTTTTCCCCATCTGTCCCTTGCTCTCTTACACTTTTAAAATTTGTTTGGTTCTTTTTTTTGGTGGAGTATTTTAGAAGTGAATCCCAGAAATAATGTTATTTTACCAGGAATACTCACTTTTTCTCTGTAATAGATAAAAACGGTTTTTATTTTTTTAAAAACATAGCCACCGTATCATATTACAACTAAGAATTCATAGTAATTCCTAATATCATCTAATAGCAGTCCCTATTCAGATTGCCCCAGTAGCTTCAAATATAACTTACATTTGATTTGTCCTTTTTTTTTTTTTTTTAATTCCCCCAAGGGAGGTGCACTGTTCTTGGTAGTACTGCAATTCCAGGTTGTTGCATAGGATGGATGGAGCAAGCTCATACTCCATCTTTAGTTCCAAAAATCCATTTAACATGTCCTCAGACAGAGGACTCATATCAGATATTAAACTGATAAGAACAGAAGATACACTTGATGAGAAGTGATTACATTTGATTTGTTCTGATTGGACTCAAGATCTAAATGTTTCATTTGGTGATTATGTCTCTTAAGTCTCATATTCTAGAGCAATCCCCTATCTCTATTGCTAAAGTATAATTTTCAAAAGGTAAAATCATGGCTTTCATGCACATATAAAATGAAAAGTCCCAAGTTCTACGCTTTTCTAGAAGTTACAATGGATTATCAGTGAGCTCTCCAGTCATCTTGTGCCCGGGGATGTGCATATCCTCGTGGTGATGGTGTGTAGTTACAAAACTGGACAACTTCATGGAGATCCTTCTCATGTGAATTCTTTGGAGTGACATTCCAAACATTGAGCTAGTTACCCAGATAGAGCAAGGATGTATATCATCAATACCATTGTCTCTAGCATGAGCAAAGACAAGGGAATGTTTAGTTCCTTAATCATAAAATGTTCTGATAATTTACATACTAAGTTAAGATACTGATTTTTGTTTTCCTTTTCTCTACTGTTCTGGTAAGTTCACTTTACAAAGGCAGCACTTAAAATAAATTTTTTTCTTCTTTTTCAGGTGAAGAGAATATAAATCTTCTACTGAGTGAAAAAATCTTTCTTAAAGTTACATATAGTCCAAGAAAAAAACCCCAAATGTTTTTATATTTTGTTTGAGTATAAAATTAAGCAAGAAGTTTCCATAAAAGGTAAGATAATTTTCCTTTTTAATTCTTCTTTATTGTAATTTATGCAAATATACTGTAGAAGTGGAAGTTCAGAGACGGATGACAGCAAAATGCTTCATTTGGAAGGTGTGTGTATGGTTTATTGTCTTTTGGTTGTTTTTTGATGCTTCTGTATCTGGTTGTAAGATACTCTGTTGTAGAAAAGTTACTTGGTCTCCCTAATCCAGAGATACGGGGCCGGTCATGGGTATGTCTCACCTGTGGAGAGCACGTGCGTCGGGGCATGGACACCGTCAGCCGCGGTCACCATCTAGAGCATACATTCCCCATACAAGATGAACAGCCAGGGAAGGACTTGGCTTCCTCCAGTATTAGATGCTCTCAGAAGGCTCACCCATTGCAATCCAGTTACATGCTGCATAAATGACAATAAGTGTAATTTCTCAGGAGCATTTCAGTGCATTAAGAACTAAGATAACTCGGGGCGCCTGGGTGGCTCAGTCGGTTAAGCGTCTGCCTTCGGCTGGGATCATGATCCCAGGGTCCTGAGATCCAGTCCCGCATCGGGCTCCCTGCTCAGCAGAGTCTGCTTCTCCCTCTCCTTCTGCCCCTCCCCGCTACTTCGCACGTGTGTTTGCATGCTTGCGCTCTCTCTCTCATAAATAAATAAAATCTTTAAATAAATAAAATGAGTAGAAGTCAAGCCAGGTTTCCTCATGGAAGCCTTTGACCAACTCCTGCTCCCTGACTAATGATAATTGCAGACATTTATTGGGCACTTAGTTTGCCAGCCATGTTTTGAGCACTTCATACAGATTATCTTGCTTGATACTCACATTGTCCTCTGAGAGAGACACCATCCTCATCTGTACTGCGTCATTGGGGGGGACTGAGACGCAGAGAACTGTAATCAGGTCAGTAAGTGGAGGGGCTGACCGCAGGCCAGGCAGCTGTACGCGCAGCCGAGGATGCGGCCACCGCGGCTCAGTGCCCCTGTAGAGGGCACGTCCTCCGCTCGTGACCATCGTGGTGTTAACACACACAGGCCGGCACGCTCCGTGCCCGCGCCAGGTTCCATGCGCTGAACTTTGCCCCAGTCAGCACTGCTCCCCACCCGAGGAGGCTGGTACTTCCATCCCTGTCCATAAGAACGCCCAAGGCCCAGGGAAGCCATGGCTCCATGTTCAGGCTCAAAGGTAGGACCCTCTCTGGGCGGAGTCCTTCAAGATCTGCTAGAGGTCAGGCTCCTGAGGGTGGGGCTGTGTGTGTCAGTCTCGTCATTTGTTGCTGAGAAGAGGGTGCCCAGTGCCCTGTCTGTGGGCTGTTAGCAACATTGAAGCCTTTCAGAGCTCCTCTTGAAGAATGTAACTGCCACCTGTCAGCCCATGGACTGCCCCTTTTATCACTGAGATGTAATTCACATACCATAGAATCACCCTTTAAAGTATGCAGTTCAGTGGCTTTTAGTACATTCACAAGAGCAACCAGCACCAGTAACTCCAGAATGATTTATCACCCCACAAAGAAACCTGTTGACTGTTGCATTTTGAAGACGTGCCCTTCTCTCCTCAGGGTCTCATTTCCCCTCAAGCCTGTGAGACCCTCCTCTGTCCCTTTCGTGGCTAAGTCCTGGTTAGTACCTTCATGTCATCTCCCTCCATCTTCATAATCCTTCCTGTAACTCCTTTGATACCTCCTTTTTTTCTTTATTTTTTAAAGATTTTATTTATTTATTTGACAGAGAGAGACACAGCGAGAGAGGGAACACAAGCAGGGGGAGTGGGAGAGGGAGAAGCAGG